GATGATTGGTAAGAAACTAACTGGTAATGGGGGAGGATTTATTTTATGTATCAATGCTCATTATTATGAAGAGGATAATCTTGCTTACATTACTGTAGTATCGTATGTGCATGAATTTTTCTTAAGTTATAAAATTTTTGATTTAATGTCTACAGATACTGAGAAAGAGTTAGCATCATTGAAGGAACTATCAGAGACTAGACTGCAAGAAATAGAACAACTGAAACTGAAACTTGAAGACAATAACAGCAAGAGTATGTATAATACATTAAATATAAATTAATTTAATGTTTATTTTATTATAAGGATTACAAGTACCAGTTGAAGAGACATCAGAGACAATTAAAGATGAATCATCTGATGATGACACATCAAGTACATAAATGAATAAATTAATATTTATTATATTAATAATCATACAGGTAATGAAGGCATTGTAATGAAACCTGATGATAAATCACTAACAGTAAATTGTGAGTTACACTATTCAAATTTGCTATTGTATATTCATTGTAATTGTAATGATACAACATAACCCACTGCATCATCAGTGTGTGTGTGTGGGTGTGTGTTAGTTTTGCTTAGTCAGACCACACCCTGTGTGTGTATGTGTGTGTCGGCAATAATTTATTATTTTAACCTCGATTTTAACAGAACATTATAATTTCACTTTATGTAATTATGTTGTGTGTTTATTATTAGTACAAGAGGATGGAATGGTGATGTGGAGTTTTGATGGTATACGACTCACTAGTCCATCAGTAGATCAATGTAAGGAGGTAATCTGTAAACTGAAGAAGGAAAATTGGTGGATTATACTGAGGAACTCATCATCTGACAGTATACAGGTCCTAATACCAGCTGTATTGGAGAGAAGAATAATAAATGAACTTACTATATACTCCTCATTATTATCACGTGATGATGTCCTCTCATTCTCTTCTCAACTATCAACCAACAAATCATTATCAATTCTACACCTAACTCATGGTTCAATGAGTGATGATGGAGTCATTGCACTAGCACAATCACTACGATATAATAAAACACTTGAATCTTTATTTCTTGATCACAATCCTGGCATCACTTCAGCTTGTGCTCAGTCACTGGCTGAACTTTTACTCACTAACAACACACTCCATGGACTTTATCTCAACTCTACTAACATTGATACTGATGGAGTAATGATACTAATGGAATCACTCAAGACCAATAATACACTAAGGAACTTGAAACTCAGCCTAGACAAACAACATAAAGAACCTTGTTCTGCTTTACCTTATTATGAGTATATCAAAGACAGATTGAATTTTGTGGAATTTTAAGAAAATATTATTTTTATATTAAATCCTACCTTGTCATACTGTATAATATCTTTTTAAATATATGCTGTTGTACTTTTATTTTTACAATTTTTATTTCCTTCATTTTATATTGAGCCCCGCCCTTTGTTTTGAGGCTGACCACGCCCTGTTTCACTAATGGCAACTTCCTCTTCTTCTCCCCTATCATCTGAAGATATATTTAACAAACATTACCCACTCCTCTCCACCTCTCTCTGTGATCCTGTCAGTGTAACCAGACTATTGTATGGAGAACTAGTAATAACAGGACAGATACTAAGCAATGTTGAATCAGCTAGTCCCTCCATTAGTAAACAACGTGAGGAACTACTAAAGGGACTGAGAGAGGTCCTTGTTGGTAATGACAACAACCTACAAACATTTGCTAGTGTATTGTGCAAGTTCACTGCTAATGTTAAACTAGGAGAGGCTATACACAAAGATTATGGTGAGTGTATTCATGTACTGTAGTAATGGAGTATTGACTGGTGGTATCACTGAACCTTTCTATGCATACAAAATGGCTCAGAATTGACTCAAATAATCCATCAACATG